CCTTCTTGGAAGGAGGTAACTAGCATTACAACGAACACTAGCAGTAACCACCCATTTGTTGTTGACATGCCAGCACCGTGCGTCAACTACTTTAAATTTCATCTAGACACCGCATGCCATGTGTCACACGGTCTATGATTCGTGCATTTTAACTCATCATTGCGATGATATTCAGACGGTCGAAGAGTTTTCAGCAACCTTGTGAGTAGTTTCCTTTATCAGACGGTTTTCTTGTCACGTATTCCCACTATCGTTGTGTCTGTAAAACGAGTTCAGTTAGCGCACGTACAGTTGTCACATCATCAACACTGACGCTTGCTCTCACTTTTCGTTGATCCGATGAATAAGAATGGATAGTTAGTGAGACAATACCTCATTGATAGTAAAGCACAAGGTATTAATCGCATTTGGGACGTTTGCAGTACGTTGACTTCCACTCTATCGCCTGTTTTAGGCGACCGTGCTTTTCAGCCAATCATAGGCGGCCAGACGTGTATTCATTTGCGGAAACACATGCCACACTGAATCCGGAACTAGTCTTGCTGTTCAGTGAATTTTTGTCTTAACAGCTGTCTTCGACCTCTTGATTGATCCCCATATTCTATCGGCACGTTTCTGTGACGCCTTCTTAGTTGTCCAATATTCAGACGTCGAAGAGTTTTCAGCAACCTTGTGAGTAGTTTCCTTTATCAGACGGTTTTCTTGTCACGTATTCCCACTATCGTTGTGTCTGTAAAACGAGTTCAGTTAGCGCACGTACAGTTGTCACATCATCAACACTGACGCTTGCTCTCACTTTTCGTTGATCCGATGAATAAGAATGGATAGTTAGTGAGACAATACCTCATTGATAGTAAAGCACAAGGTATTAATCGCATTTGGGACGTTTGCAGTACGTTGACTTCCACTCTATCGCCTGTTTTAGGCGACCGTGCTTTTCAGCCAATCATAGGCGGCCAGACGTGTATTCATTTGCGGAAACACATGCCACACTGAATCCGGAACTAGTCTTGCTGTTCAGTGAATTTTTGTCTTAACAGCTGTCTTCGACCTCTTGATTGATCCCCATATTCTATCGGCACGTTTCTGTGACGCCTTCTTAGTTGTCCAAATCATAAGAAAGCAGCAGACTACCGAAATAAACAGACAAAAATATAAAAACAAATGTCTAAGTATGTACCCCAGCGACATGTGAGACAACTCGACCGAGGTCAGGTTGGCAATCCACGTGTGTCTCAGTTCTTCGCCACTTTCTCTGATCGTGACCTGGTAAGGTAAAACACACTCGCCCGTCAGTAGCTTTCATACACGACTACTGGCTTTCTCAGCTATGTAAAAAGTCATTTGATTTTGTGGACTTCATGTTTGATCCATTGCTGTTAGACCGGTGATGAAATGAAAGGTACCGACGAAGATTGTGTCCTAGCGGTCGTACAGAACTCCGCAGATGTTGGAAGCTCTAAACAACTCTGGTACCTAATGCTTAAGCTTAGCGAAAAAAAACATTAGCATCCAAAAGCCGATTTTTCGCGCCATACTAACCTACTGTCATGATTATTGGATGTTCGCTGAATTATTGCACCTCACAAATAGGCCTAGTTTCCACAAGTTCACACACAATGTACACGGTAAGCGTGGCACCCCAGAAGCTAAGTTGCTTGATCCACACCTATGCTAGGTGTCCGACCGTTCCGCTAGAATGCTTTATCCTCCCATGTCAGAACTACTCGCAGATGATCAAGCTGTGGGTTGAAAGTGCCATACAAACGCCCGAAAATTGTATTTTGTCGCTATGGTAGACACAATTCCACTTGATTCGAATATTGGATGAGTCGTTTGTGAATATAAAGACGAAAACTACCAAATACTTTATCCAGAGGTACTCGTGCATCAGAGGCATAGACGTCAGCTGAACGTCAGCTCCGTATCCGTTCGCTAGCGGTTTCTGTAACAAATCGGCACTATCCTTGTCCGTATCCACACCGTGGAATATGAAACTTCAAGAATGAACTGGACTGAAAGCCACGGTGAAGTTCCGAGGTTTGACTCACCTGAAAGATTGCCGATTGAGATTTGCGTTCTTTAACAATTTTCCGTCATAATCTCGAAAAATGTGTCGGAGACGGACACAAATCGTGCATCATTCGTCAGGTGACACTAAGTGTTCCAGTGCTTGTCCAGGTAACGCAGATCACAGAATTTTCTGTGCTGGTCTGTCTGGCCGTTTATTTATTCACATGCCGTCCTCCTTGCTCGCTTTAATAGCTACATCTGCAGACGCTGTCCGTGCATGATTAGACACACCCAAGAAGATTTCAGACTGGACAAAGGTGCCGGTAATGGCACGCAGCTATTGTAAACACCTGTCAGTTCCCGTAGCCTGCTGTGCGTGGTTGTTTGGTTCGATTGCACATGAACAACAGACTCTGCATTGTTGTGTGGCGTTGTTTTTCCACAATTTTTGTTTGTTTACGGAGAGTGGGTGTAAGCGTGCCCGAGGTTTGAGCACTCTTGTGGTGCAATAAAACGGGATCTCCTTTTGCGTGAATCTGGCTCTGTTTATCTTCTTTTATGAACGGTAGCTTGACATTTGTTTATCCGCACCGTGTGTAGCTAATTTTCCCAGTAGAAAACTCGACCGACCATGCTGCAAGACAACCTACCTTGTATGAGCGGGATTCTCATTTCCCAAGATGCGAATCGGAGGGAGGAAATCACTTGCTTGAGACTTCCAATAATACTTTGGGCTCGAGTCCAGTGCTTCCCGATTTTCGTGTGGACTCACCTAAATAATTGCGCCACCACAAGTGGAGGATTATTCAAACCAGAGTCACGTGAACGCGAATTCTACGAATTCGGCATCCGGCTACAGCTAGTGTTAAACTAAATTGGTCTCCGTTTCCGTAACGCAAATCGGCTTACAATGTTGGCGATAGAGATTGGATTAAGACGCACTCTGGAATACCTTTCCTCCCCCCGACTACTTGAGTCACTAATAGCAACACAGGGCCAGGTCCACATCACTCAAGAGTTTCGTGAAATATGCCCTGCTGATGATTTCCAATAGAGATGAAACAGCTATTCAGTGCTTTTCAACATCGACTGGCCTCACAGACAAGGCGAAGTCCTGCTTAAAAATTACCATGTTTCCTCACACTACGACCAGTCTTGGCTTGCCCCGTTTGTTGAACCAATCTCTGATCGGAAGTTACCACACGATCTACAGACGATGTGTGTAACACATAACAACGGATCCTAACTAGACTGGTGCAAGTCCTTTGCGCCCCAACTTTTACCAGTACCCAATGGCTTGATACCGCGCAACCAGTTCTTATCCCTAATTATTATATGAGTATTCCTTACCTAACTTTATTTCTTTCCAGCGCCCACAATCCGCCCTTCACTCTGCGCTGCATGTTTTGCCAACTGAGTGGTTTTATACTCATTGTTCCTCCTGGGGACACGTCCTTTTAGGCAGCTTCCTTCGGGCGGATCTAGCACACCAGTTCATCTTACGACCAGCAATGGTAGAGATGCTGAAATTCAGTGGCGTCACTCTATGTACAACTAACCGTTCGCCCTTAGCCATTGGGGCGTTTGACTTGTCCGCGGTCCACCCAGTAATGTGTCCCAGCTACGGAAATCCGGAGTGACCGTATCTTGACGATATCCTTTTGGGTAACTTTTTTCTTAAGCAAGCGAATCGTGAAGTATAACTTGGCGGATAATATACAATCTTCTGTACACCCTAGTGGAGTGATATCTCTAAAAGGAATTACCATACGTAAACAAAACGGTGATTCATTGAAAGATTCGTTGAAAGACTACTTGAACGCGATAACTGACCTACAGGAAGCATTAGTGACTCGTGTTATATTCAAAGATGCGTCGATTTTCCACTTGGTTCGATTAATCGATTCACTTGGTGGTAATCTGGCGATCGACCCGGCTGCCTATTGTTTGGACACGTGGCTTGTCAGGTGCCTAATCTAGTAGTACGCGTTAGTGGTGTAGTTTGATTGAATGACATAGTAGACTGACCCACCAACATTGCTCGAGGGAAGCACACATAAAGAGTAAAAAAAATTATCACACTATCTCTCTGTCGCTCACTATATCTCATGTGCGTGGTCACGTTTCATAACACCGTACAACGCATCCTGTAAAACAGGATAAAATCGCAATATTGGAAGGCAGATACTTCACCAAAAATGCAAAATCCGTGCTCTTTGCAGGCATCTACATGGTATGATCCAGCCACTGAGGTAGGATAAACCAAACGATTCAGTTGGACGTACTGTTCTTCGCCTCCTTCGCAGTTTAGTGCTCCCAGTGCAGCTTAAAGGTTGCATGAATGGACGCAACGCTGCATACAGAGAAGGCAAAACGGATCAGTCGGAATGGGGGAAAACCGAACTACTGAGTGCAAGATACTCAACTAACCGACAATGTGTTGATGTTGATCATACCACAACGCAACAAAAATCCGAACGGTTCAACTAGCCAATTTCCAACCGACTATTCAGGTCACATATCTTAAAGACTCCTTAAAAGCTATGGAAACTCAGTCTTTCTTAAAGGAATCCAACCAACTGCGCACTGACGACGTTCTCTCGCACGGTGACGGAGTGTGTGCAAGCCAATCGCCCACCTCAGTCAACTAATCGATTGCCACCTGATTAATAGTCTTATACTTGAATGACCTGACTGTGCTAATGATGATTGCATAGGATTTGGTAGGATGGAGATCCCAAAATTTTGTTGACAGGACTCATTTTTACGTTGTGTTCTGTTGTTACCATTGTTATCGTAAACCATAACATGAAATTCCGGATTTGTTATGACATTTTGTTAAGATGTGGTTCTATTTTTAAAATTTTGATCACCCAAAGTGGTCTCACCACACCTATTCCAATATGTCACCGAATGCTTTTATTTCACGACACTTCCGGTTCCCTTTTATTCTCCTCTTGACCTTCTTCATCTCTCCATTCCTGCAGGTCCTCTCTCCGAAACGGTTGGTGATTTTTGGCAAATGATTTGGGACTATCATGTCCCGGTCATCGTTATGATCACCAAGTAAGTCCAATTCCTCGGTGCTTTTATTAGTTCTTCGACCGCATCGTTGTCGTCCATTGTCTATACTAGTTGATCAAGTATTTCAAAGCTTCGGCATTTCAAAGTGTGAGGCCATCATCTGAAACAGCAGAACAAGCCGCTTCACACATAAGGTGTGGCGTCGTTCTCTCATAAAAACAAAAAAAACAGTCGTTCAACTGTAACACTATCGGCGTATAGCTGTCATGCCACCCGAAAGGAGCATGGGGGCCAGGATATTGTCGAGTTTCCCGCGATTAGCCAGAAGCAGTCGAGAAGCCTAGGTTGGATTCGAGCCACGAACCTTCCGGTCATCATGTTCGCGCCGTAACCACAGCTATGCGTCCTTCTTCATAAAAACAAAAAAAACAGTCGCTCAACTGTAACACTATCGGCATATAGCTGTCACGCCACCCGAAAGGAGCATGGGGGCCAGGATATTGTCGAGTTTCCCGCGATTAGCCAGAAGCAGTCGAGAAGCCTAGGTTGGATTCGAGCCACGAACCTTCCGGTCATCATGTTCGCGCCGTAACCACAGCTATGTCGAGCCATACTCGATTCGATAAGCGGGAGGTCATGGGTTCGAGTCCCGTTCAGAGACTGTCTTTGCCTTTGGCTTATATTCTTGGATCTGTATTCAAGGTTTTCCAAATCGTCGTTTTTTCTGCATATTCGATTTGTTTAAACGGCTAGCAACCTCGCAGCCGCCTTGACAAACTGCTGCGTATCCCCACCCATTGCTCAAATCCACAGGGTGCTCGAAGCAGATCGTGTCAAATGCTTCCCATACTGGCCAGATTCGGTCGACAAGAAAATGTATTTCGCTTGTGGCCATTCTGGAGCCGTCCCGGTTGTGAAAGACGGTCTTGGAACCAATTCGTCCCTAGTGGTCCCGGAATTCGCCGTTGAAAACATGGGCTCCCAAACGAATGCACATTTCACTTGCAGTACGCTTCAACTCACCCATTTACCTGTAAGTGATGTAATAAAAGCTACGACCTCTTAGGCTCGCCACATTTTGCCTTTTTCCAAAAACGATCTTTCCTGTTTGCTCTTTTTCCATCCCGTTTCATTTTCCTCGGGAATGCTCAGTTTGTTGACTGACTTTTGTATACTTACGGCTGATACAGTTGAATGTACTGTGCAAACCGTTCACCGGAACATCCATTGACAGCTTTTAGCTTAAGCGCTATGATGATAACGTGCTTTCCTCCCTGCTTCATTTGGGATGAATTTAATCAGTGTACAAAAGAGGACTATTGGATCACTCGCTCAAACTTTGGACATTCCATTCGTCGCTTGCAAGCTCTCCCGTACATTCCATCAATGTGGGTTATATAAGTTGATGCACGATTGATTTAGTGCTCAATTCCTTACATTCCAATCGGGCGTTTTTTGTGTGCATATCTTTCTCTCACAGTTGTCAATTAGGACTCCTACGCAAGTGGCGCTCCCTTGAGACGGATGCGGTTGTGTCACACCAATGCATGGAGCGAATACTCATTGCTGTTATCAGCAGGTATAGACATGGCACAATTTCGTTCGGTAAACAAGTGGGGAGTGAGATGGCTGTCTACGCATTTGATGCGATGGCTGGTATCGTTCAACTGTGAATTTATGTCGAAAGAGGAAGGGCTGTGTTTACTGATACTTCTACCGTAGGCCTAGTGTCATTTGGAGGTTAGATTTGTTCTCAGCCACCGCCTGAATCAGCTGTTTGCCCCATCGATTTCTCATTTCACGTCACATTTAAACACGTTGAAGAACGCCATTTTCCGGTCTCATGTTTGGCCTTTTGGTCTAGTAATGCATCGCCACTTTAATTGGTTTTACTCAAGGTTGCAGTTTATGCATTATCCACAGGTGTTAGTCACGGTACTTTAAAATCAGTGACTTTGGACGCGCTGTCTTGCGCCACCCCCGTTTGGGACGTTCTTCCACAAGGGATTGTACATACCGGCATTATGGGTATGCCTAGCCGTACGGTAGGTATCACTTATCCACTTATCAGGTGTCACACATCCTGATGTCATATGGACAGCTCTCTTTTGGCTTCAACTGATTTATTTGATATAGTTCTGTTACTTAGAGACAACTGGTAGAATCTTGTTAGGTTACCCGTTCGGGAACTGCGCTGCTGGTCCGCTTCGCCAGACTGCTACTTTCTTGACCGCATCAGGCTCTGAGCGAGATTCGTTTGTTCACTGACCAGGTTGACTAATTCATCGATTACAATATCGGATAACAGTTGAGTTGTACTGTTCTAGTACCCCCGCACTAAGCCGTCATTCACATAACGGAGATAGCATCGCCATTTTCTCACTCCAGCAGTAGATAATTGTACAGCTGACTCTTTGCACATTTTGAATGCGCTTTTGGCAATGCAGTGTTTCTGTTTTCCTATCTAACTGGTCATCCCCAAACTCTCTTGGCTACCTTCTATCGTTTCATACGTCTTTTTTTTCGAAATTTGTGGGACACCTTGTGAGCAATACTAGAGGACGCGTAACACCACATAGCCTTTATCGATCCCGTGTTCCAATAACTGCGCCTTCTAGCTGTTTGAAGATTGTCAATCCAACACAGTGGCTTAAAGTTTAGACCCGCGTGAGGCCCTAATGGGTTGCGACTGTGTCATCTCTCCGGCGATAGCCAAGCTATCTACCTTCTCAAGGTAGAGGAAACCAATAGTCACATATGTCAACTTCTAGCGACATTCTGTCTGATTGAGCTTGGTGGATCGCAGTAACGATCAGTTGTGATCACCACGTGGATGTGATAGGCGTGAGTCCATGTTTTCAACCACATGTTCCCCATTTTCTCTACATTGCCTTTTGTACAGATCCATTTACCCATGTTATCATGCAGATGTTGCTGATCTGCCCGTATTATTTTCCACTAGAATAAGCAACGCCGGACAGTGCTGCACTATGCCTGCTCCTCCTGGCCTGATCACGGTGTCCCACAGACCACCGAAGGTTTGCAGAGACTACTCTCTTCCGTCCAGACCGCATACACCGGTGCTATTCGCCTGCTAGGCTATTCGTGTTACATGGAACAGGAAGTGCCGCCACCGCCTGTCGTCGTCCATTGTAGTGCCGGTATCGGTCGCACCGGTGAGTTATTATCTGCACGAATGTGCATGTTACCATGTCCTTCGCTCGGTGGTCGCCTTAGTCGTTAACCCTGTGTCAGTAGTCCACGTCTCATTAATCATTCGTGGTGGCCAACGGGAGAATAATATTTCTTCTACGCCGTTGCCTTTCTCCTATCGATTGTTCATCAATGCTCGGACAAAGTAATTTATTTGATTCAGGTTAGTTGTTTTTTCCCCAGCTGGTTACCAAAGTGGATGGTATCGGTTGAACCATGTAACACTTAGCTTGACTCTACTAACTTGGTTGCGCTATGGCACAACGTGAGTGTTATTTAGAGGCATTAAAGTAGTTTTGCGATCGTCTCTTATCTATCGGGTGATCATATGACTTATCAGTAACTTACTTTTCCAAGAAGATGCCGATTCTTTAGTTGGCGAAACTTTTTTCGTCTGCTGGAGACTCCTAAACCGATTTCATTGATCGATAATAACGTTGACAGCCATGACTCAGTTTAGCGCTTCAACTATATTTCCTTCAATGTTTAACTTACTCTTGCTGTCGCCATTACGAATCGTGAAACATTTAAGTAACATGTTGCCATCACCAGAGTTACATCTCGATGGTTTGTTGACAGTGTAAAGAGATAATTCGTTCTTTTTTCTGCAACGCTGCACTTTCTCCCGCTACGCAGTTATCATCGGTGAACAGCTCTGATTTGCTCGCCGTTTCTGAAGCGGATCACCAATCCTCTTCGTTTCAATGGCCATATTCATCCTGCAGACGTTTAGCAAACGTCTCCTGACATTACTTACAACTTTCAGCCCAGTTCACTTATTTATTCTGTATGTGCAACTAGGGTTTGCGCGCACCCTTAAGGCTGGTCACATGATCAGACACGAATTCCTTGGATAGATATGCACCCAGTTTTCCTTTCACTGTGGCCATCAAGAACACGTTTTGTCACACCCTCTTTGGCTAACGTTTTCTCCCTAATCGGTGTGGATGTTTGTCAATCAACCTGATGAGGTGTTTGGTTCTTTATTGTTTATCTGATGCATGGTTCAACCCAACCATCGGACGCGACAGCAATAATAGCAGTTTTGCTCAATTCCCTCGCAATGAGTATCCGTATTCTGGTTTGTTTTTGTCATGGTCGCGAAATGACACATAAACGTCTACCAACTAGTTTAGATTTCATCATCAGTAGATTATCACGAGGATGGAATATTGATGTATACAAAAGCGGCGTCCAAACGAGCGTGTCTAGGCCTGCGCAAATTCGGTCCATCTCTGTAATTGGTGAACTAGATCGTCTGGTTGTGCTGTGATTGTGTCTGGTTTTATGTAGATAGAGAAGACTAGCCTTGTTCTTGTTGGAGCCGCAAAATATGTTTGAATTCGTCATTTCCCCTCGTTTTTCGTTGTTTTTCGCGATCTCTTCGTGTCGTTATTGGCATTCTCCAATGGTAGGTGGAAGCGTTCTCTGTTCTCCGTGGCATTTTTAGCAATCACTGTATGGCTTGTTTGAATTCACCTAACGAACCTCAGGTATCACTTCTCACCCACGCCAGATGTCATTATAGATTTGTCCGACACTCAGTCGTTTGTGTCGGATATGCCAACGCACTGGCAGTTAATAATATCAGTCTTCCTGGTGTTGACAGGGATAGCTTTCCACTCACCCTGATCAGACCGTTGCAGACAGGTAATGCACATAGTCACCACGCTTGGCGAACTGACCGGGAGAATGCCTTAGATGGTTGACTTAGATTCAGAATTTGAACAGTTCATTGAATCAGACTGTTGTCACAGGTAACGCTCACGAAACCAAGAGGATATATATGTGTGCCTTATGAGATACTGTTAGTTTACCCAGTAGTACAGAAGAATTCTCCAAAATCACCGCGACTACACCACCCGTATCACCGAAAGGTGGTAATGAAATACTCATCAATTTGTGCTCTTGTACTGAACAGATGTTCCTTCATTCGAAATATCCGCATTAAAGGTCTGTTCCCACCGTAAACAACAATTGGTGGGATGCATAAATTCCGCCACAAGAAGCTCCCCCGCATGTTGCAACTCAGACTACGAGGGACCTAAGGTTGTCCCAGCCAGCAATAACGGTAGAGTATCCGACACACATGGTCGTTGGCTTGTGCTGCGTAGCACCACTATGCTCCCCAATAACGCACTGATGACGTCACCTCCATTGGTGACGAAACGTTTGCAGTCAAATTGCCCAGCTCAGCGAACAAGCTAACGACCATCTACGCTACCTGAGCTACAGACATTTTCCTTTATAGAAATCCGACACACAATTTAGTTTCCTTCTCTGTCGCCTCATGTTTCCGCAAATCAGTGTACGGTCAGTCCATCATCAATCAATCGTTATTTTAGGAATAACCAGCCTACAAAACTTCATACTCGTTGTGACAGTAACCACTGACAGAGACCTGGGCCAGACATGGATCAGTCACGCCGTCCTACGGGACCACAGTTTTGTTATTAGAGAGGCCTGGCATGCCAAACTCACGGGCGGTTTTGGCTCACTGAGCACAAAAATAATATTAGGTTTTATGTTTTTCACAGTGAATGCAACCCACCTGAGCGTATATCGGTGACGATAAACCTGTTTGCAGTCCGAATTGAACGCGTGGGCGTCCGTTCGTCCCAAGTTTCAAGGATGATTGGTACTTGCGTAGTTTTTTTTAGCACAAACGTAGGACATTCTAGCCAGGCTCAAAGTCGTGTACTGTTGATATGATACCTTAAACAAAAATATATTCAGAATATGTTTTCATCGTTCGGTCGGTCGTTCTCTTTGTCAGTATGTACTGGTTGAAAGTTTGGAAGTCTAGCTCGTGTCTGAACGTCTCGATGCCGTTCGAAGGTGGATTAGGACAGAGAGCGGAGCAGCACCATATGCATTATTGTGGTTCAGTTGTGATGTTATAGTACGCCTTCGCGATATAACCACTTTGTTTATGGGTTGCCGTTTGACTGACTGGGATGATGGGAATTAGTGACCTTTACGTGCGCTTCGCTATGTCTCGATGAAATCTCGCAATGTTTCGGAAGTAATCTACCGTGTGGAGCTTCATCCTGATTGAAACGAGGAATCTCAACACACTAAAAATTTTGAGACTATATGGAAACCGTAAGCGAATAGCGGTCGCGTGGTATTTCACCCCGAACTGCGCACCATCTCACACCACAAACACTAGAGGTCACTACCATTGTCGTTTATTTTGTTTGTCGCATGGTTTCAAACGTGAAAAAAATGGACTGATAGATGTGGAAGATTAGGACACGGTCCCTATCAATCAATCATCAAGGAGTAGCAGCTTCGTTGAATTTTTTCAAATTCTACGATGGGCCCTGTGTGCGAAATCTGGGGTGGGGGAAAACTGGCGTGACAACTACTTGGTGCTCAACAGCATGATCGCTCCATTGTTTTTGATCTGGAGACCAGATGTGCAACCTTCCACCTGTTCGGTAGGATTGAACTGTTCAACGAAATACACTCATTTGCAAACAAATTTGGCCTGGCTAGAGACTCACCTGGAACCCAGCTGAATCTCTCGTTTATAATGTTTCTAGAAGTTTTCAGTGTGTTGTGTCTATACATTACAGATAAGTAAATCTTTGATTGTACTCACTCTGTGTTTTCGTCTCCCAATGTATATCTTACCCATGGAATGAGTGCAATTTTAATGGCCGTGTAACCCATGGTTTCGTTCTCATGAAATAACTTGTGATAGCTCTGGATAACGTTTGAACGGATTGGAAAACGCGCAGTATTTACTGAAACACCAACGGGAGCTCTGGGTGTTCTTGCTCCTTGGGGTTGGTCAATGAATTCGTTCTCTGACTCGCGATTCATCTCTTACATCCGGTTCGCTTCTTACTTCAGGTACGTACGTCACGGCCGATATATGCACCAAATGGCTTGTGGACGAAAAACAGACAGATCACCTCATCAACATACCCCTCACAGTAAGCCGCGTTCGTTCTCAGCGCTACGGCTGTGTGCAAGTGGCTGCCCAGTATGTATTTTGCTATCGAGTAGTTCTTGACTTCGCCATCCAAAATGGACTACTCACTGCTGACCAGGCACAGTCAGCTTTGTCAATCCTCAGTCCTGCATCCAACAGTCTATCACAATCTTCCACTACCTCATTCTACCACTGTACATCCTTACCTCGCCCACATCTGCCACTAAGCTCCTTCATTTCCTCCCCGTTTGGCCAAGAAAAAAGTCCTGGACGAATGGCCATGGCCCTGTCTGATTTTCGGAACCTGTTGCCTACCTCACAACTACTCTCCATTTGGCATGCGCTCAGAGTGAGCAGAGATCACAAGAGTGGAAATAGCGGTGCAGGAAATATATCCGATTCAGATTTCAATATGACTGAAAACGTGTGTTCTGACTCGGATTTGGACGAGGACGAAGAAGCGGAATATGACGGAGATGAGCGCTATGGTGAACGTATGACCGAGCCCTCCACATTACAATTACACTCGGAAAAACCTTCCTCCATATTGGATGGTTCTGGTAGTCACGATTGCGATTCAGTCTCTATCATTAGTCAGACATCAGAACAAGAGACGCCTGCAACGACGGATACCGGTGTTCCGGTAGAAGTGACTGCTACTTCCAAACCAGATATGGACAGCATCGGAGAGGTACAAATGGACACTAACCCATCCTAGTTTCTGTACCTTGTCTTCTGGGATTATTCAAGTCTAACAAAACCCTTCAAGGCAAACAGATGTCATACAGCTGTCAACAGTCGGTTCGGGATGTTGTCTCTGTTGTACAGCAAGGATCTACACAGTTAAAAGCACACAGTTTCGATCATCCTCCGCGGTAGACCTCACTATTTTCTCTCCTTGTTGCCTTGCGAACATACAACTTCAGGGAAATTGCTTAATGTGTGACAAAGATTGTTTTTTGTTCATCTGTTGTCTTCCGGGACACATTCAAGGCGTTCTGTTGGGCGCAGCTTTTAACCTAATTCACCATATGCTAGTGGTGGCGATGGTGGTTGGCTTGGTTCACATGTACAAAAGCTCCCCTGGACACTTGCCTCCATCCACGCAAGCTCGTAGGGTACGTCCACCACAGTGTCTAGTTCATTTGTATAACGGTACTTTCCTCCCCTCCCATCCAACTAGACCCTTTTTGCACTGAGCTATTTCTTCTTTTTCCTTTTATCCTGAATATTTTCTCCGGCACAAATTGCCGATGATTCTCTTTCTTACAACGACAATATCCACAGAATTGTCACTTTTGCCGCTAGATCGAACATATAACCACATGCACACGCACAGGTTCCGGTAATTTCATTCATTGTGTGACAGCACAGTTACAAGTCTACTACGCTGATGTGCACACTGTATCATTCACAAACCCTGCTTATTTTGTACAAATGTCTCTTGTCGAATCTGGTTGTTCTTTTTGGTTCGTTTCTCAGGGGATATTGTCCGAAATAGTGTTTTGCCTCGCTAAGCCAAGTAGTTCGCAGTCTTTTAGCTGCCCGCTTACTGACTGGCGATATATGCGGTGTCAAAGTGGTGTCATCTTGTCTGTCAGGCGTGGGACGTAGCCACTATAGGAAGAAAACAAAAAAATCAGTGATTTGTCCTCGAATGTGGTATCGCCATTAGATCAGTGATGCTAACACATGTGAAATGGTATCGGAAGAAGTTCACACTCGGTAAGACCACTACTGCGAACTCATCGACTATTCTGCCTTGTGCTGCGAACGTCAGAATACGTATGACTTGCCATCCCAGGCCTTTTTCTTGAGTCAGGTACAGAATGGAACTGCTTTCGGAAAATTCTGGTATAGCTTTGGCGGATAAGGACGGAGGTCATAGTCAGTAGACTCAGTCGCAGATAGAAATCTCAAGGCGGGACATGTCGATAGCTAGTGGTACAATGACATACACTGTCCGGTCGTGCACTGGACTGCATTCGTGGATCCGAATAGCCAGACTCCTTATTCCCACTCCCCCGTTCCAATTTCCATACCCATAGCGTCACGCTTTCACGACAAATAGCCGATAAAAACAACATTAACAGCTTTCGCCTACCCACCCGCTCACATTTCTCAGACTAGATGAATTAAACCGATATTTAGATTCTGTTTTCACAGTCCATAACTGATGTTGATGGTTTGAGGATACCTCTGTGGTTCATATAAAAATGTATTTTTGAATTAATCCGTCCACTGGTATCACGGAGGACACTATTGATAAGATGTGCGTGTAATATCCTTTCGAAGCAGTTCATAGCGCTGACTCCCCATCAAATCGACCACTGAGTTGGTGATTATTGGACTGTTTGACGTCCAGATAAGCTCAGGAACACTCTTGAGAGTGTTATGTTTCTCTACAACTCTACAAATGAGGCTTTTTTTTATCCGATTTCTTGTGACCGCTGTTCTCGTGCTTTTCGTATTGAATGAATTCGTATTCGAAGGTGTTCCAGCTTTTAGTGGTATAAGACCGCAAACTTTCGTGCAGCCCAGTCTCCTCCGTTATCCGAACCTCCGTCCATCGATGCAGGTTCGCAAGACACTTAGAAAGTCTCTTCGATAGTCTACTGAAGGTCTCACTTTTCTTCGGACACATCAACTAGGCGTAGTTCCCGACTTTCCGACAAACGTGTGACATCGGCATGGCTTCTACGTTTTAACACTGAACGCCATCGCTTTGCCGCTGTTCCGCTGTGCTTAGTTAACTTCCAATCAACGGAACAGAATACCGACCGCCATCTTAGTTGGGTGGTCAACATCTGGTTGTAGGACAAAACCATTCTACATTAATACCCTCTGGAGCACCCTGCTGTCCATCTCTAATGGCAGCCAAGTTCGGATGAAGTTGCCCTAAAATCCACCCACTAAGAGCTTCATAAGCGCTGCTTGATGGCGTTAGCTGTAAAACGAATTGGCCTATACCTAAGTATCGTGTTGTAGAAGTCACAGGTTAAAACGCCGTACGTCAGTATGTACTGTGCGAAACAAATTGGCGAAGTTTAGAAATTTCTAGAATATTCCTTAGAGCATATACTTCAGTATCAAATTGGGCAATAAATAGGTTTGCGATACTCACGCTGCATTCTGAGGGAAATTCAACGTTAAACGGTGAGTAGGGTTCTTCGCCCGATTCACAAGCGAAAACAGCGTGGAAAAGCAACTGAACAGTTGAGCCTTATCACCCACTTGTCAAATCTTCATTTAGGCCAATTCAGCAGATTCTGAGCGCGCACAACCATCACTCAAGGTCTAATTATCATACATCGAGCGAATTGTTTGACCTGATTTCTCCCATTTTCGATTCAGGAAAGTAACTGAATTGACGACTATTTATCCGTGTTGGCAAAAAGTTGCTTGTAGGGAGATTCATCATTGTACAATAGTTCGAATCACCAAATACCTCTTTGTGAAGGATGTTACTTGCTTCGACATGTTTCTTCCCCGAGAGAGCTGACCATATCAGTTCCCTAAAGTTTAGCTGGTACAAATTGTGTGAGAGCGTTGCCGTTTATCCTTTTCGCGTGTATCAATCTGGAAAAGGCAAGAAAAGTTTCACTGTGAAGAGGGTAGGTACGAAGTACTGAAGATCGCTTGTGTCCTTTGGGTATTTGATTTCTGATGATCATATTTTGACAGATGCTTTTTGATTCGTTGATATTTTTCTTTCAAGAAGCCGACTTTTTTGAGGTTAAATTAGTGGATTCCCTACCATTCTATGTCACTGTTTGACAAAAAAGTTCGACTTGTAAGAGCCACGGTTTACAAATAAATCACATGATTTTATTTCGAGGAATCCTCTGTTTTCGACTCATCCCACGGCAGTTTCCATTACGTTAAAAAGAAATATGTAATTCGAAGTAGATTCCTTCCATCTGGACTTGATTTTCACTTTGTAATTGTGTTATTTCTTTTGGACAGCATGGTCAACTGCATCAGTGACACTAAAAATATGAAAAAGTAGACCCTGCAGAAGCTATCTGGAAAAAAACTTCGGAGTGTTTACCAAGCCCTTCTGAAACTTTCTGAATGATGTTCATCCACGACGAACAACCGTCTATAGCTTCCCTCATGTGGTGCGGTTACACTGGCTTCAAGGAGAGCACAGAATATAAGTCTCGTTATCGTGTTTGTGTTTCTAACCTTCATCGGTGCTCGAGTGTACTCCACACGATCTCATCAGTCTGACCACCGCACCACGGCTGCTCTCAAACAGTTTCGTTAACAAATGCGCTACTTTTTAACTATTAAGTAGTTTGTGTCCGTTGTCAAATATTGGCATCGGCC